AATGTCAGATATGTCAGAAATGATTTGCAGCTATTCTTATGCGTCCAGGGATTTCGGTATCTGGTTCAAAACTACTAATTCACTTATCGCTTGAAAACAATAACATATAATCAAATATGTTGGGGATATTATATTTATTAACTTTGCCAACTGAATAACTTTTGGAACCGGAGCGGCATCAAAACGGGCCTTTAGATCATTTTTAACACATGTGTCTATTTTACTCTGCTATTGTTGGGAAACGATTAGGTGGCACACAGAAACTCAGAATACTTATGCGTATCAAAACACGGCATCCGGGGAAAACAATTCGCAAGCAATCAAAAATTATTTTCAGCGCCCACGCAATCTTAGCTTCGTAAAAAGTCTGAGTCGGATGCAACATGTCTACAATGACGGACAATACTCAACACGGTTCTCCGGATTCCCGAAAGTAAAGCGCACACTTCCGGAATAAAATCTTTACTTCCCTGACCAAATGTATAAAACAAACGAGGAAAGCGTAAGAGACGGACACAGGTTTATGTTTCTCCGAATTCATCCACCAGTCCCTCCTTGGAATTCTTGAAGCATATTTGAATAAACTTTCCGTAGACTCATAAACTTACCATACGAAAACAGAGTTTTAACATACTTTAGACCAACACACAAAGTGCATAAGCACAAACCCGGTTGTATATACCAACAATCACCAAAGCAATCCACAAGTTGCACGTTGACATTTCATTATTACATAACATTCAATTTATCGGAGTTCTAGGCAATTTGGACTACCGGAAACACTAACACTTTAAGCGCTGAACACCAACGCTATGTTCAACAATTATTCTGCCCTCCATAACACCAACACTTCACTCTAGGTTTGTCATAATGTACAATTTTTGTATATAAGTGGAAACACCTCTCTACACATTGGTTAGAATCTAGTCCCCTCCAGTATGGTTTCGCTTCAACTTGCTCAGAACCTCTCCCTACACATTTAGCTGCCATGGAAAATTACATTTTGTTTGTGCGTCTACCAGTGAGTTGGTAAGCAACAAACAGGTCTCTGTTTGGCTGGTCTGCAACCCATATTAATTTCTATTTAAACGAATGGCTGCCAAGTAAAGGCATAAACACTATTCGTTATCAATTTTAAGATCCTAGTTATATTTGCCATTATGTTTTGAGCATTTAGATAACCTCCTGTATTACATCATTTCTTTGTTCTGCTATTGTTGCAGGTTGATTTTTGACAAAAGCTTATTATAAGCAGCTACCAGGTTCACTAAAATGCAGTCCCCAAAAGTATTTTCTACACTTTTCTCACTCATTGACCAAAAGACTGGACAGATCGTACGTTTGACTATTATTAGCCACACTGACAGGTAATGAAACTTTTCCGTTCACACTTCTCACTGGTACTATATACATGCGATTTGACCTATATCACACGAGCGATTGACATTTCTGTCTTGCGTTCTTTCATTGGATGGTGCTTCATTCTATGAATACCATGGAGTGTACGTCAAAGTGTAAACGAAAGCATTAGTAAAATATCACTAATTTTACAACAAGGAATGACCATCCCTGAAATATAGTGAACGCCATCATTAGTAACGTGTACTGTGCATAGGTACTCAACGGAATGGGCCAATGCATCTATAGTGTTGTCGGCAAATGCAGGATTAAATTATTTATCTAAACAGCCCAACGATTATCTGGCACGGTTATTTCGCATGTGTACGACAAAAATATTTCCAGGACATCAACCAAATTTTAATAATCCTGCTCGTATCACACCATAAATTCAGTTTCAAAAGCATAATATAATCTGACATAATAATGGCCGTTCCTAACCAATACAGTGTACATTTTTATGTCGGTAGAGATCTAGCGAAGCCTACTGCTGGAGCCTGCTGCGTGTTGCACTAAACGAAAACCGGCAATGTCTGTTTGTATGCAAACACTGTATTTATTATTCACCATGCTGACCTGAAGAAAAATTCGGGAATTCAGAATGCATATTACCAGAATTTTTGTGCAGATTAGTTCATCTAAATCATGTGAAATAAATTTGACATTTTGTATCTCGTTCAAGAGTTATGTGGATCTCAAGCATCAACGCTCTTTGTTGTACTTAATATGCCAGCTGCTAACATGCAGCCTGACTATGCTTATTTCTACAGTTATTCTCAGTATGACCCAGAGGCGGCTTAGATTGTTTAAGCCAAATCTATCTACTCACGTGGTTGTAGTTACGTTGCATTGCTGGGTGTAGCTTTAAGGATCACAAGCACGCCTCGTAATCTGAGGGCTCGGGTTCGAGCTTGCTTAGGGAGCCGGTGACTCTCACAGTATCCTTGGCTGACATGCGGATGGTGGTGGTTTCGCGGCAGTGAAGCCTCGGTATTCCGTACCGGCGTACTGCTGTTGCGTTTTTCTGTTGTATTGGTGGTCGACGTCACAATTTGGTTCAGGATCCATTATTCCTTTGATTGGAAGACGCAGGTTTCCTAATGAACTATCGAAATCTAACGTAGACTAAGTGGTGCGGTCAATTCAAAAAATCATTCTCAATGACATTCAAAAGTGAAGCCTTTGTTTTCAAAACGAACGCCACCAATACAATTTATTGGTGAAATCGTCTTTTGGGAAGCAGTACCGCCGAGGTTACAATATCAGGTTCGCCTACTTCAAGTAAAAATATTCAGAATATCACAAAATTGGTCACAAAGGGAGATATCTGGAATCAGCTTTGCCGACAGTTGCACTTAGAACTAACCGCGCTAAAACAGTGCTACTTACTAGGCGTCTAGTTTTGCCTGCGGAGAATATAACGTTATCCATCGGTTGACGGTGTTGTTGTATAACGCCTTTCTCTGTAACTTTGTTAAATTGCATCCCGCTAAGGAGGAATCCTCCTATGTAAAGACGGCTAAACGTTTGTGTACCAGACGCTTTACTAGATAAACGAAGGTTTTTCACTGGTGCATGAAAGATACATACTTGATGCTTACCTCGCGGACCAGATGACGTTTTATAATGAGTTTGAGTATCTGAAGAACAGAGAAGCTTTTGCAACTATGCTACACTGTTTGAGGAATATATCCATGATAGGTCAGCGCTAAGTCTTATCACATTTCCTAAAGCTTCTCATCAGTCACTTGCCATGACGCTGATGACAAACTCACCTACGATCTTATGGATATAACTTTTTGAAACAATGAAAGCTTCCCCTCTAAAACTTTTGACTTTGATGATGTTTGATGGCTCAAGTGTCTCTTCGATCATCGGTTTTGCTTCCAAGACTTTGAGGGCTACTCTCACCACATTGGCTGTTGGGTTTATTTAAGACAAATTCAGTCTTCTGGCCTTCAGCCTTGCAAACGGATTATGTTCTTGGTTGCAAAATGTAATCAATACCATCTTTCAGGTGTCTCAAGATCAAGATTTTGGGTCAGATGTTTTGGATGCAGATTTGGCCGCGAATCTGCCTAGTCATGGGCGCGTCAGCAGCATCCAAGCACTCACAATAATAACGCTTCGTTGAACTTTAGCGGCATGCTACAACAGTCGTCGCGCAGTTTCAAGTGCGTCGCCCGATCTGTTACACGTAGCAGGGGGAGTAATCAAAAATGTTCTACTACTGATGCCTGCTCTCCTTCTTTTCTACCGAATTCACTTACTCTCCTATTGGCCTGAATTTATAAGCTACCTCATACAGACAGCAGCCAGCGAGACGGCAACCGCGGTTCTATTGGCTTTAGGCCATTTGCAGCAACCTTTGAACAGACTCTTATCTAACAACACCTCACTGGTGCTCTAGTGACATTCAATTCTCGTAGCACAGGATAAAGATGTTTGCAGACTTCAGTATACATTGCACACCTTATGTGTTAACATCAACTTGATGTCCGAGAATAAAAGCAATTACGGTAAACTGTTGTCCAGCCCGTCTACTTGTTGTTTGCTACACGCACCCGGAGACGCTGATGCATCAGTTATATATCACGATGATGTTGGCGTCCTTATCAGCTAGATGTATTTATCGGCAGCTAATTGGCTTCCTACCAACGCCAAACAAAGCCACTGTGGGGACAAAGCAACCGTTGTCTAGGTAAGGGCGCACCCAACAACTGCAGCCCTGCAGCTATCAAGAATAATTTATACCTTAATGCTCCACTTCTCAGTTTTTCAAATTCACATATCCTTCTGGCTGTGATAGAGATGTTGCTCAAGTGGGTAGTCTGTAGGCGCATAAGCCAGGGAATTTAAGGAATTTAAACTGAACAATTAACTTATGAAATACATACAAGTTTCATTTTAAATATTTGTAGAGCCCCGACTGTGTCAAAGCAACATGCCCTGTGAAACAGCAAGCGCGTACTGTCTCTTGGCATCTAGCTATAGCTGCGCAACGATGAACGCAATTAAATCACCTCAACATTTGTCTCAAGCGGTGCAAACACCCCAGTCTGCCGCACAAATTGTGGTACATGCGTCGGCTCTAAGCTCGCATAAGTCCGTTGCCAATCTTCCAAGAAGGTTATCCAGAAGCGTAACAAAATTTTTCCTCAACTATTAACTGAAAAGTTAGTTCAGTATTCACTTAACACTACTATCAGGGTGCTCTGTAATTAAGGTTATCAATTAATTACTTTGAAAATGCCAACCGTCGGTGTAATGGTGTCTAAGCCGCCGTATGCGATACTGAAAACCTTCTTTCCGTCACTGTCGGTCGTCAGCCCACAAGGCGCTATATATACGAGAAGTTCTTAAACCTGTTAACATCCAGAAGAAAACTTTCTACATTCTGTGAACACAATATGTGCACACTAACTATTAGGCGCAAAATGAAACAGAGTCTGCGTGTTTGTAACTTCTATGGAGGATCCCTATGGTTGAAGGGATAGAGCGGACCGGTGCTGAAACCAATTACCGCAGACTCCGTCAGCTGCTCTGCACCACTGGTATGTGTCAGTAATACTATGAAGGAGGAAATCGATACAAAAACTCACAGTAAGGAAAGTTATCTTGTTTGTTGGGTAACTCTCCTTGGACAGCGTTAGCCAGCAATTTAAGCTCAGACTTCTTCTGGAGCAGATTCTCCATCATGGGCCAGTGTTGCTTAATTTGGCGTGTATCGGAGGCTGAGTTTTGTAAAGTGAGCAGCGTTCCAAGCCTTTATCGCATCTCTGGTCCAAATTCCCTTACACCCAATCTGTATAGGGGTGAAGGTGTGGTGTTTGTCAACCACTGACAACCCATTGGGATGAAGTGATCATAGTGGCAAAAATACGGATAAAAGCAGGACCACGATATGGGAATTGAAATAGTGCCTTGTGAAAAATTGATCTATTCGTGTAATGCGGACCATTTCCATTTGCGAACTGATATTTACCAGAATAACTGGACACCATTTAGTATTCCCACCCTTTGTAAGACAAAATGCTGTTATGGAAGTTACTAAGTAGCTGATCATTTCCCCTCTCTTAAGGACGAGGAACAGCTGAATTAGCAGCATCCAGTGCTTTGTTGTTGAAACTTGTTCTATCATTGCAAATCTACAGTTACCCTCCTGAAGTTGTGGCATCCGAAACATCAAAATTGGATTACCGACGTTTCAAAAAATAACACGTGCAAAAAGTAGTGAAAGCTGTCCTAATCTATGGGAATGAAATTTTGCAATGAGGTCGAAGGATGTTAAGTGATTTCTACTCTTCGATCGTAGTTGTCTAAGGAAATATGCGGATTTCGGCATTGATGTGCGCAGGCAAATGTTAGTTTATGATTATATATATATATATATACATATATATTTTTAAATAAACATCTAATGTGCTATCGGGACTATGGCCGAAGAGGTTAACCGTGTCAGAAATTTAAAATGAGCAACAGCTTCTGTACTCATAGTTTCTGAGCTATTTGGTTTGTTCGTTTCATTAGGATTAGGAAAGGGAATGTTTGCAACCCGCAGAGACGCTCGTCCGCCATTTAGGTCTTCTTGAGCCAGGACATCCAGAGTCACCAACCAGCAACACTCCGCATCTTTGGGACCCAAACCAGACGGTTTAGAATCAACGATCGAGACCAGTCGTTTAATCTGCATTTCATACTGCTTCTTGGCTGTCTTCATATCTAATTAGTAGACAGCAGATGGTGCGCATCAGCGATCATTTCTCTAAACCAAAAGCAATCACCAGTGAAGTGATTCAAGGGAGGGTTTTTGGTCTCCTTCTTTTTCCAATACATATTAACGATATATTCCAGAGAATAAAAAATGGTGTTACATTTCTCTTTGCTGACGACATTAAAGTTGTCTACTCACAACCACCTACAAATACCCAGGAAACCTAGTCCCAGTCAGGATGACCTACCTGCCCTTGACTCCTGGTGCCAACTGTGGCAGATGATATTTGCGGTAGACAAGTGTTAGTTTTTGTCGCACAAATGCCGAGTACCTCCAGACACTTTACTACTACAAGGCGTATATACCTTGCAAAGAAAGGGCAGTTCGCGACTTGGGCTTGCGATATATAGTCACGTTTAACTTTTCTGAACATTGTGAATTTCAAGTTTCAAAAGTCACGAAGACGATCGGTTACATGTGCCATCATTTTTACCTCACGGAATCTCGCATATCGCTTTACAAAACATATGTATTACCATGTATGGAGTACCGTTTAGTGGTCCAGTCTAATCTGCGGAAATCTAACTAGTATGCTCTGGGGATGGTCCAGAGGCGCTTCACGAAAAGCTATGTGAAAATTCCTCAAAGCTGACATACAGTGAGCTATGTGATGAACTTGGATTTGACCCAGTTTGACTTCGGCGAACGACGCTACACCTAAGCTTTACTTACAGAAACTGTCAAATTCGCAGTCTTGATAACGGTGTTCACATTTGTTTAAACAGCAGATATCCAATGCGTAATAAAGAGGTAATGGTCATGATATTAAACTGTACTACGAGAATCACGGAGGGTTTCTTTCTAACCTACTACTCAAAGGTTTGAAACAAACTTCCAAGTGATATCAGAACATGCTATATACTTTATCATTTTAAGCTTGCGATTAGTATGCAGTTAACCATGCAAAACGTGACTGACATGCTTGGGACATCACAATCCTTAGATAACGCTTTCGATAGCGGTATCGATGGTGACTGAATAAATTTTCGAAACACACATATCATTTCGGACAACAGCCCATTTCATTTGATTTCATTTTTTATTGTTCCATATATCTGTCATGAGATTGTTAAGTGTAGTTGCATCGATGACAAAACTGAAGAGGAATGGTTTGATAGAGACTCCTCGCTTATCTCCACCGGAAACAACAAAGGAAGGTGAAAGTCTGCCCTAGGCCCAAGCCCCACCGAAGTTAAGATGGTGCATAGCACTCAGTATGGAAACAGATTTCCTGGGGTCGTTATTCATCAACAGACTGCCACAATGTAGTCCTGTCTACATAACAGAAGGCAGCGCGGATATCTAGAAACATGATAATCGTTGGCTTTTGACGCTTATAGTGGAGGTCGAAGGTTTGGCGGAGTGTGACAGTTTGACTGAGGCAGCTGCTACGAGGGCGGAACCCAGCCTATTGTTTCGGCTACAGCGATTCGCGATTTGGGGATAGCCTGCGAACAATGTTAGACACCAGCAGTTTGCAGATGACGGAACCTAAACTTGTAACCCTATGGTTGTGGCATATCTTGGGCAGGTCATTTTTGAAGATGGTTACGACTATTGGTAAACTCCTAGGCAATGCAACCTGCTGTCTTCACCAGACTTCTGGGAACAAAGGGATGAGTTCTTGAACCAGCTACAGCCACCGTCTTTAAATAGCGCAGGAAGTGAGCCATCAGAACCGGGTGACGTATAACTCATCAGTAAGCGGAGATTCAGCTAGATTTTCTCATGGGATTGCAGATCTGTGAGTCTAGACTACTCGTCACTAGTGAGCGTTTCAGAGGAACTAAATGGAAATGAGGGCCAGCAAATTTGGGTGACAAACTTTTCAGCTCATGGATATAACCGTCGCTGAAGTGGGCATACTCTTAGCAGATTGTTTCACTTACATCAAATCGGAAACCTTTGTGGACTCAGGGTAGAGGGAAAGGTTTCAGGTGTTACCAGAGGTTGGCAAGTGCCACCTCTCTAGCACGTTCTCGCCACCATGCTTCACGATCCTTTCAGAGCTTTTACGCTATCCTCCATCCAAGCACCGGCGCTCTTCACTACAGCATGCTTCTGTCGGGCCGAGGCAGCGATTGTCCACCAGCGACAAGGCGACATTGGTGATTCAGATTTCGGTGGGTGACGGGTAAATCCACTGCGGTCAACGCTGGCAGAAACTAAAGCATCTTTGATACGCACTCATTGCGAATTCAAACCCTTATTGGAAACTGAAGGTAGCAGTGTTGATAGACAAATCTGGAACTGGTCAACATCGTAGCGTCTCTCAAATTTTCTACGCTCGGTCGGTAGTGCGTGCACTTAGGCGATCCTCCGAAATGCATGCAAAACTTGACAAGAATCAGTGCGTGATTGGTGTACATACAAGTTGACCAGTAAGATAGGCAATCTGATACGCTTCCGCGCCATCTGTGACTTATTGTTAGGTGGTGAAGAGGGGACGAAGCTTACGTTTGCAAAGGTGAGCGCCAGGTAGCAGTCTGTATCTTCGGGTGTCGAATATTGGTGCTCGCAAGAAACAAACGAATATCATGAGAAAGAGTAAGTACGCTGTTTCCATTGTCTGACCAACTGTTAGCGAGGTCAAAAAATCCCCAAGATGTGCTCGCTAGGTGCTTGGCGGCCCACTTGTGTGTGAAAACCTCTGGCAAAAATGATAATATCAGATATTTCGGAGGAACACAGTAGGTCAGTTAGTTGTTGGTAAAATTAAACCTTGACTACAGCCGGGCTGAAGACTACAGTAGGCGGAGACAACACTTCACAGTGTTGTTAAACGGATATATGTGAATTTTTGTAGGGAGAACGCTTTCCAGAAAAAACACACCACCTCCTTAAACACTGACGCTGAATCAATTGCTAGAACGTGATAATTTGGAATCATCTAGACAGCACCCCGAGATTTTGCAAGCCAGCAAAAAACCTGCCTGTGGCCAGCAGTTCGCCCTTAGCCTCATGCAGTGAGCGCAAAATGGACGTGAACCTAAATCTCTGTCGAGAATTTGAGTCGGCTTCTACGGTTGCGTTTTTACATTTCACAATCGTCGATATCGATTTCCTTCACCACTTAGTGACAGGCGGTCCACTCATGCGTTTAAATCTCCGAGAAGAATGATAATACCAGACATTTTGGAGGAAGGCATTAGGTCATACACCTGTTGGTAAAAACAACTTGACCGCACCCGTGCTGCAGTCAGTATGAGCGTAGGCGGAGAAGACGAATAAAGTGCGCTTAACATCTTGACGCTTACTTAACTCATATGAGTATTTTAGTCTGACTGCACATGGCTAAATAATGGCTGGGAACCAGTCAAGCAAAGTGGTCTCAACCCTGTCACATTGCGACCCCGACCCCAGACTGGCCAGAAATGACACTCTCCGGGTCCCGTAAGAGTGCAAGTGGTAGTTGACATCAGGGACTTCTGGAGTGGTCATTCTAATGACAGTACTAGAGTCTTATTTCATTGGTTTCGAAGTGCATCAGATGTCTTTTGCCAACGCCTCAGTTGAGTGAGCCAGGTAGGCTTGCCCTCCGATCTGCATCAGAATTCGAACACTGAAGGTTTCGAAACCGAAATGAGAAGCAAGTCGGAGAAGAGCTGGAGCATCTGTGGGATCTGAGAATGCTATGATCACCGGACATTGCACACCGGGAGTTTGCCTCTTATTTCCATCAGGCCAAACGGATAACTGCATTGGCATGAGCGGAGAAGGCACAGTTGTAATTGAAGAACGGTAGTTGGGACGACCTATGAGCGGAAGTAGAGCCAGTAGACGTAGGAAGAGCCAAATAAGTACTATACTCCATTCATGCGTAGTCAGTGGGCATAATACTAACCTGTTGCCCAGGCCGAAGTAAAAATTTGTCATAGAGTGCTCTACCCCAAGCATTTGATCAACAATCTGACCTACAAGG